CCGGATCCGCTGCCTCAGCCTGGCTACGACAAGCTGGAGAACGACCACACCCCGGGCGTGTGGAACCACAGCACCGGGCCCCTCCCCGCCTACCGCGTCGTCAACTGCACCTCCCGCTGCACCGGCCCAAAAGTCGTGCTCTTCGACCAGCAGCCGACCGACGCACAGCTCGCCGCGTACAGCGACGTCCAGTTCGAGGAGGTGCCGCGCGAGTACAAGTGGGACGGGGAGTGGGTGTACCTGCTCGTCTCCAAGGGCACGCTCGTCCTCTCCACCTCCATCTCCCACCCCCCCATGACGGTCGACGCCGGCTGCGCCATCCCGCACGCGCCGCCGCCGCACGCCGCCATGCTCCACCTGCCCGCCGGCCTCGTGCACCGGCAGAGCCCGGGGGTGGCAGAGCAGCTCCAGAGCCCGGGGGTCGACTCGCTGGAGCTGCTCGAGACGGCGCGGGCGGCGGGGAGCATCGAGATGCAGTACGGCCACCTCGCCGACCGCCTCAACCGCGAGATCGACTGGCTCGGCGAGAGAGAGCCGAGAGACAGCCGAGAGGGAGCCGAGAGGGAGCCGAGAGGGAGCAGAGAGGGAGCAGAGAGACAGCCAACCGCCGAGAGAGAGCCGAGAGAGAGCTGAGAGAGAGAGCCGAGAGAGCCGGGATGAGCCCGCGGCGCGGCCCGCTGGCGCGACGGCGGTGGGTAGCATCTCTTCACGCACAGGCTGCTGCACGTGAGCAGGCAACTTCGAGACCGCGGCCAAGGGGGACACCGCCGCCGCCGCCGCCGCGCGCCGCAGCTGCCTCTTCCAGCTGCTCGGAGCCCTCGACCTGAGCGTGCGCCCCGCGCCCCCCGTGGTGGCGGGCACCAGCCGTGAGCAGCGCCTCTCTACGTGTGCGGGTGTAAGCAGGTGCGTCGCGCCCTCGGGGCGCGCGGGGAGCCGCCCGAGCATCAGGGCCTCGCCGCGGTCCAGCGCCTCCTCAACGACGTCCGCTCAGAGCTCGATCGCGGCCCGAGCGACTCTAACCTCCTCCTCCCATCCCCGCCTCCGCGCCCGACGCCGCCCGTCCCGCCGCCGTCCGTCCCCTCGGGGCTGGCCGCCTCCGCCGCCGCGCCCGGGCAGCCCTTCAGCCAGCATGGGGCGCTCCACCCCCCCGGCCATGCCCCCGGCCCGCCTCCTCTGACCACGCCGCCACCCCTCCACCCGCAGCCCTCCCCGCCGGGGGCGGGCGGGGCGGGGTTGGGGGCAGTGACTGTCTGGCCATACCCTTCAGATGGCACCTTTATGAAGGGCGTGCGGGCGCAGCTGATGCAGCAGATGCAGATGCAGATGCAGATGCAGCAGCAGACGCAGACGCAGACGCAGCAGCAGACGCAGCAGCAGCAGCAGCAGCAGCAGCAGCAGCAGCAGCAGACGCAGACGCAGACGCAGCAGCAGCAGATGCAGCAGATGCAGATGCAGATGCAGCATAAGCAGCAGCAGCAACAACAGATGCAGCAGCAGATGCCGCAGCAGATGCCGCAGCAGATGCCGCAGCAGATGCAGCAGCAGCAGCCGCAGCAGCAGCAGCAGATGCCGCAGCAGATGCCGCAGCAGATGCCGCAGATGCAGCAGCAGCAGCCGCAGCAGCAGCAGCAGATGCCGCAGCAGATGCCGCAGCAGATGCCGCAGATGCCGCAGCAGATGCCGCAGCAGATGCCGCAGCAGATGCCGCAGCAGATGCCGCAGCAGATGCCGCAGATGCCGCAGCAGATGCCGCAGCAGCAGCAGCAGCAGATGCCGCAGCAGATGCCGCAGCAGATGCCGCAGCAGATGCAGCAGCTGCAGATGCAGCAGCTGATGCAGCAGCAGATGCCGCAGCAGATGCCGCAGCAGATGCCGCAGCTGCAGATGCAGCAGCTGATGCAGCAGCAGCAGGGCTGGCAGCAGCAGTTGCAGGGCTGGCAGCAGCAGCAGCAACTGATGCTATGGCAGCAGCACGTGGGCTTCACCGACCCGGTGCCGCCGCAGCAGCAGTTGATTCAGCAGCAGCAGCAGCAGCAGCAGCAGCAGCTCCAGCAGCAGCAGCAGCAACAGCAGCAACAGCGCCAGCTCCAGCAGCAGTACCAGCACCAGCAGCTGGTTCTGCAGCAGCAGCGGCGGCGGCAAGAGGCGGCTCGCCAGTTTGCGGCTCAGGCGGAGCCGCCCCTGCTGTACGACAGCAGCAGCTCGTCGTCCGCGGTGTCCTCCCAGTCTTCGGCCGCGGGGAGGGCGGCGGCGTCTCACGCGAGCGCGCGGCAGGAGATGGTCGCTGTGGCGGAGGCCGAGGAGCGGGCGGCGTCGATGCCTGATGCGGCGCGAGAGACGCGGCTGAAGGTGTCTCACGGGTCGGCCCTCTTCAGGATCGACAACGCGGGCATAGAGCTCGTGGGCGCGGACAGCGAGCCCGCCAAGCTGCACCGCCGGAGGCGGGTTATCTTCCCGGGCGGCGGAGAGCAGGCGCTCACGCTGCTCACTCTGCAGCCGCCGACCGCCGAGGTGTCGCTCGGAGAGCTGCTGCGCTCGCCGCTGCCGCCGCCGTTCGACCTCCTTCTCTCGGTGCCCGTCTACGTGCGCGCGTCGGGGGCGCTCCTCCCTCAGACGGGGGAGGAGCTCGAGGCGATCTTCGCGCGGCTGGCTCTGCGCGCCAAGCAGAAGAGAGCCGCGCCAAAGGCAGGCGTCGACCTCTCCGGCCCGTGCGTCGAGGCGGCGCCGGTGGCGTCGCGCGACCCGAACGACCCGCGCAGCAACCGCCCGTGGACGGTCGAGGGCGGGCACCTCCAAGACTCCAAGGGCGGGCACCTCGACCGGCTCGACCTGCTGGCCGAGGTGGCGGCCAAGCGCCCCGAGGGAGGGGCGCAGCAGCCCTCCCCCTTCAACTGGCTGCAGACCGCCATCACCTCGATGCAGCTGTAGAGAGCTGCGGGGCTGGCGGCACACGGCGCGCGCGTGTGCGGGAGAGAGGCGAACACGATCACTAGCTAGAATGCGAGGACCGCGCGCTCGCAAAAGGCGCCCATAGCATTGCGAAAGAAAGGAGAGGACTATGTCGGACCCTCTCGTCTGTTACAGCTTGAGCACTTGAGAGCACTTCCACTTGAGATAGGGATTAGGGTCGATTCCGCATGGTACGAGACCCCTCGCTGTTTATTACAGTTGTGTGCTTGTGTTCTCTGACTGTGCCCACGAGCCTGCGGCAAGCTCGTGCTCGGTGACAAGGCGAACCCTCAGACGACTTTTCATCTCAACGAGGGGCACGTCACCGACATGTGCGAGATCGGCGGGGACCTGCAGTCCCAGCGCGATGTCCACTAGAGGGTGTGGATGCTGGGTTGAACGAAATCGAGGGACGCGACCCACTTCGCCACAGACGGTCCCGCGCCTCGCCGCTATGACGGGCACACGCCCCGCACCGTCCACTGTGTGCCCGTCTTTGTCCGGAGTGAAAAGTCCAACGCGCTCGTCGGTGGCGGCTTCCCTCAACCTGCGCCGCGCTCGGCGAACCTCGACAGCGCCTTCGGTGGCATGCACCTCTTTGCGACAGAAGCCTGGAGAGCAGCTCCTCTGCTGCTCACACGCTCTGTACAGTTGACACAGCCTACTGTGCGGCTGCCACAGCTGTGACAGCGATGGGCTCGCCCTCACTGGCCCTCAGTCACTTGTGCTGCGGCTTGTGTGAGCGACACTGCTCGGCGACTGCCGGCACACTGTGAGACCATGGGTGTGAGGTAAAACCACGCTACCAGTGCTTGGTCACATCGGCCCCGAGGTCAGATCCATCTACTCTGTTGATGACAAGACTTGTCTACCGGCTGGAGCCGAGCAGGAGGGCCCGGCGCACAAACCCTTGTTCAACTCACCCTCCACACCCCGTACGAAGTCAAGGTGCCTAGCGCCCTCACAAAGACGAGGCAGGCTGGGCAGGGCTCGGCGGCACACGGCGGATGCTGTGCGTCACTGGGCCACAAGTTTGGTTTCGGCAACACCCTTGACCAAACCTTGCTCAAGGTTCTTGGGTGCAAAGAGCGCGGCCACAAGTCACAGGGCCCGCTCGTCCATGCGACCGGTAAAGGCTGGGTCAAAGGGCACAAGGGACAGTACTACGACGCGCTCCATGTCAAGAACGGAATCGTCAAAATTTGTCTCGTCGAAAGCCAGGGCGGCATCGCGCCGCCAACCAAGAGAATCATCTTCAACTTCGCCAAAGAGGTCGGCAGCCCGAGCGCCGTCGACCGCACCGACTACGGCACAGCCTCCGGCAGCGCCCGGGCGGGGCTTTGTCCAGCACCACTCGCAACAGCTCTCGCGCGCCGCCGTCTGTGGCGACGCGCAAAACATCAACAACGCTGCTCGCAACATGCGTGTCGCGCACTCATTCATGACCGGTCTCAATGCCCCACCCCCCTGCGCGCGGGCCTTCTAGGCCCGCGGGTAGTCTCCCCCCATTCCCAGGGCCTCCAGGGCTCGCACCTCAACCTCTCACAGACCAGCGCACAGCGCCATAGGACGTATTTTCTTCTTAATAACAAGGCGCGTCACACCACAATCCTCGCTACCCAACGCGGCCAAAGGATATCCACCTCGAGAACCTCGAGAGGCTGTGAACGCGGGTAGTCCCCCCCCATCCCCAGGGCCTCCAGGGCTCGCACCTCAACCTCTCACAGGCCAGCGCACAGCGCCATACGAGGTATTTTCTTCTCAATAACAAGGCTGTGAATAGCAGGCGTGGACTTTGGTCTGTACTCGCCAGCTCCTTCGGAGTGGTTTGGTTGCTGCCGAGAGCTCTCTTTAGGCCTTGTTGCCCGCCTGACATGCCGTCGGTCATCTTCCTCGACCTCGATGGGGTGCTCAATCGCACGCGGGATGCGCCTCACCTGCGGCTCGACGACGACCTCGTGGCGCGGCTCCGCTCGCTGGTGCGTGACACAGGTGCCGCCATCGTCCTCTCGACGTTTTGGCGAGCATTCGAGGAGTACGTGTCATACGTCCTTTCGCGTCACGGCATCCCGCACGGCACCGTCATTGGCCGCACACCGGGCCGCAACTCGTCCTTTGACTTTGTGACGGCCACCGCCAGCGAGCCCGCGTTTCGCTCTCGGGCGGAGGAGATCACCGTCTGGCTAGCGACGCATCCGGAGGTGGCCAGCTTCGTCATCCTCGATGACAGGCCTTCGGCGGCGAACGGCGACGGCACCGTGGGTGAGCCGCTCGCAAGCCGCTTCGTCCAGACCGAGACTAGCGTCGGGCTGTCGGATGCAAACGTGGCGCGTTGTCGCGAGGCGCTGGCCAGCAAGGTTTCTGACGCGGAGAAGTCGGTGTTTCTTCAAGCTGCTGGTCTGGCTCCTCCCAAGAGCCACGACCCTCGAGGCCTTGTCGACACCGCGCCGGGCAGCGTGAACGAGGAGGCCCAAGCCCTATCGCGGGAGCTGTCGGCAGGCAAGCTCACAGCGCTCACAGACCTCAACCTCAAAAAGGCGGGCCTCGCAGCGCTCCCGCCGCAGATCGGAGAGCTTGCGTCGCTCACGAAACTCGACATCTCGCTCAATACCCTCTCGACGCTGCCCGCGGAGACCAGCGGTCTCTCGTCGCTCCGAATCCTTTTTAGCCTCGGCAACGAGTTCGAGTCGATCCCGTCCGTGCTCCGCAGCCTCCCGCGGCTGTACATGCTCTCCTTCAAGTCCAACCGGCTGACGCACATCCCCGAGGACGCGCTGGCGCCAACCATCGAGTGGCTCATCCTGACGGACAACTTGCTCGAGGAACTGCCGGCCTCGATCGGCTGCCTCAAGACCCTCCGCAAGTGCATGCTCACCAACAACCGGCTGCTCGCGCTGCCCGACTCGCTGCTGCAGTGCCGCGAGCTCGAGCTCATCCGCCTCGCGGACAACCGGCTGAGCGACCTGCCACGCGGCTTCTGGCAGCTGCCTAAGCTCGCGTGGGCGGGCCTCGCCGGCAACCCGCTCGTTGCGCGCGCCGCGCCGCTGCCGCCGCCCCGCTGGGTGGCGCCGGCGGAGCTCGAGGTGGGGGAGCAGATCGGCGCGGGCGGAGGCGGCTTCGTGCACCGGGCGGTGTGGAGCGCGCAGCCCGACGAGCCGGTCGCCCTCAAGCTCTTTCGCGACGCGGGCACCGTCACCGACGGCGACCCCGCGCACGAGATCGACGTGGGCTCGGCGCTGACGCATCCCAACGTCATCCGCGTCCTTGGGGCGACGCCGCGGCCGCAGCTCGGGCTGGTGCTCGAACTGCTGCAGCTGAACAAGGCGTCGGCCGGCGGCGGCTGGGGCGAGCTGGGCAAGCCGCCCAACTTTGACACGTGCGCCCGCGACACGTACCCGGCGGGCACGACGTTTGGCGCGCCGTTTGTGCTCCGCGCGCTAAGCGGCGTCGCTGCCGCGTGCGCACACCTGCACGCGCAGCAGCTCTCGCACGGCGACCTGTACGCACACAACACGTTGGTGCGGCACGACGGCGAGCCAAAGGTGGGCGACTTTGGTGCCGCATACAACTATGCGCCGCTCGGCGCCGAGGCCGCGCCGCTGGTGGAGCGCGTCGAGGTGCGCGCCTTCGGCTGCCTTGCCGAGGAGCTGGCGACGCGCCTGGCGCCCGCCGCCGGGGACGAGAGCGAGGCGGCGCTACAGCGCAACCTTCTCGGGCTCGCGCGCGAAGCGTGGATGGGTGCGGCCGTGGGCGCGCGGCCCAGCTTCGCCGAGGCGTGCCAGCAGATCGAGGCGCTCGCACGTGCATATTTCGAGGCTCCTCCCCCTTTTCCGTGGTGAGCGAGGCTGACACCTCGCCGAGACGTGAGCGAGTGATCTCGGGCCCACACCACCGGGTGATGATCCGCGACATCGCCCCACTTTTGTGCTCTTAATAGCCCTCTCTAGCGTCCTCCACCTTCTCTACGTTCTAGACAACCTCTGTAGACACAGTGTCACTAGCTAGACGAGTAGTGCAGGCTGCAGCTAGAGTACGTCCAGAGACCAGAGTTGTGCCCAGAGAGTTCCCACACCATCCCACGCACTGATCACTGTCGTCACAGAGTCAGAGAGTAATCATAGCTCGAGTGTCGATCGAGAGTCGAGTGTCGAGACCCCGGCCGCGAGGACGCCGACGCGGTGTACGAGCTCGATAAAAGTTAAAACGTTGCGCGCGCTCGTCCTCGTCCTTGCACCTTGGTGCTTGGGCCCCAGGCCGCAGCGCGCAGGCGTCATCCGTCAATAAACACAAAAGCCTCGAGTGTCGGAGATAGGTGTCAATTTGAACACGCACACGCACACACATGCGGACATGGTGAGGGCTGCGAGTCTAGCCCGGTCGAACACCCCGGGTCGCGATTTTGGCAAGTGAATACGGGCGCTTTTTGACGATGAAATAAGAATCTACTGCCCGAGGGAAACACATAGACACCCACATGGTTGACCAACCCTAAGTGTGTGAGGGTCAGTGTTCACATTCACACCCCACTGGCACCGTGGCACTGTACAGTGTGCAGACCGACATACAGCACGCACAATGTAGCACTTACTAGTAAGCGCGCGCATCCCCCGCGCTCGCCCTCCACGGCCGCTGAGCGGCGCAACGCACATGCCTCCCTCGCGCGCGCTAGCGGCTCGGCGAGGTCGGCCGGCGCGAGCACAACCCCAAGACGATGCCGTAACGCGTAAGCGGGTGGCTGCGCCGCCGCTGCGCCGTCGGGGCGACGGCGACGGCGGCGACGGCGGCAGCGGGCCGGGCAGCGGCGGTGGCGGTGGCGGTGGTAAGGGCGGCGGCGTCGAGGGCGGCGGCGTCGAGGGCGGCGGCGGCGACGGCGGCGGCGGGCTCGGTGGGGGCGGCGACGGTGGAGGCGGCGAGGGAGGCGGCGGGCTCGGAGGCGGCG